TTGTCATATTACCAACAAAAAAAAAAAAAAAAAAAAAAAAAAAATCAAAAATTTCGAATTTCCATTTTTTGGCGTGTTTTATACTACCGGGTATATATTTGGGACACCTGTATAATCTAGTTCACATGTACCATTTTAGTAAAATTTTTCATCTTCGCCGAAAATTACGCATGTGGTGGCACTCGATTCGTATTGTCACCTAGAGAGTTCTAAGAAAAAGTCGAAAAGGCGCTGAAAAATTACTGAAGTTTTTAACAATTAGGAGGTGAAAGTGGGGGTGTGTTTTTTTGGAATACCTCGAAAATGTGAAGATTTTCAGAAATTTGAAAAAATCCAAAGATGAAAGAAATTTACTAAAAAAGTAATTTCTAGCTCTCAGACTGTAGCTCAAATATTTATAATTTTTACAGAGCCCTGAGAACAGAGCTAAAAACTAGCGATGGGAACTATCGAATGAATTAGACTATCGAATAGTTAATGAATTAATGCTTTCAACTATCGAATGGTTTTATTCGAATAGAATCATTCATTCATTTGTATACTAAAGCATATGTGACAACCTCGCCGTGCGACTAAATGGTTATCGTTGAGCCACTATCGAATGCTTTTGATAAATGAAATTTAGTATTCGTTTGATTTTGTATGCGTCAGTTATTGGTTCTTCCAAATTTTATAACTTCGCTGTATAAATAATGTGCTATTTTGCGTTTATTAAAATAGTTAAAATAAATGAAAAAAAATTTGTGTGGTTTTCCGTAGTCCGATCTTCAATTATTTAATTTTATATGGTATATGGTCTATTTTTTAATGGGAAATTTGAGAAGTAGCAATTTTTTAAGAGAGATGAGATGAACTTATTAATTAATTTTAAAAATACATATTTGTATTTTAGATGTTTTAATTTTTTAATAATATGAATTAGTTGAACTTAATAATCATATTTAAGTAATGTGGTTAAGTAAATGTTATCGAACTCAAACTATGGGGTGAGAAAATTAAAATGAAAGTTTTACACGTGCCAATTTAATTTGGCTAATTCTTTATGCTAATTCTCTTACATGTAGTTTTGCGAAGAAATATTTCATTTATTTTTAAAGTAAATGCCAGTAAAGTAAATATAATTTTTAAATAGTAATATAAAGCACCTAATATAAATAATTTTGATTTCTAATTTTTATTTATATTTTCCTTCCATTACACTGCATGCTTAGAAAATTAATAAATGTTTATATTTCATGATTTTAAAATTTGTTGTTAATATAACAAATTAGTTCTGTAATTATTATTATTTAATAAATCAATGTTAAGCCACACACAAAAAAAAAATTAGAGACTATATTATTTTTAAATAGGATCTAATATAAATAATTTTGACATCTAATTTGTTGTTTATATTTTTTACTGCTTAAAAAAATATTTATATTAAATGACTTTAAATTTTGTTGTTAATAGGTATACCAAATTATTCTGTTATTATTATTTATTATACCAGTCTTTGCTTAAAAACATTAAAATAATTTTCCTACATGCAAAATAACAAGTATTATTGCAGTGTAACAACAGAATATTAAAAAAAAATGCAGAATATATAGACATACTATCTCTAACTAACTAAAGCCAAACAATAATATCCTTTGCTAATATCAACTAATACCAAAATATGGCAACAGCGCCCTTCATAATGTGTATTTTCTGTGTAAATACTAGCACCTCAATAAAAAAAATAATGTGTCCTTATCTATATCTGACTCCGCAAAAATCAAAGATGCCGGCTTCTTCATACATTGCCGAAACCTACGTCGCCGGTCGACAACTACTAGCGTTATATTTTATTATAAACGATCCTGACGAATAAATGAATTTCATAAATGAATGAATTTTATAAATGAATGGTTTTTGCTGCTGAATTACTTAGAATACATTATTTCAAGGCAGATGACGGATCTATTCGATAATTCTTATTCGAATAGTTTTCAACGAAAGTTTTCTTACTAACTATCGAATTATTCGAATGAATTGAAACTATCGAATGTTTCGATAGTATTCATTCGATAGTTCCCACTACTACTAAAAACGGGTAGTCTGGCTTCCGCGCGCGTTGCGTCACTTTAAGACAACTTAAAAAATTATTTAACTATATTAAATATTAATATTAAGGAATAAGAAAATTCAAGGAGTGTTGGGATATTATGAATAAAACAATAATCCGGGTGGTCGAAAGGTTTGTATCCCAATTTTAACATTATGCATTGCCACTAATAACTTTTCTAAACTGAGAGAGTTATAAAAATCCTGATAATTATTAAACTAAACCCTAAAATTATTTTCACTTAGTGAAGTTATTCTTAATGACCTTACTGACCCAGAGCCAGTGGTTCCAAAAAAGCTCTATATCTGATTTTTGGCACTTTAAGATTTTTTGACACTGATTTAAATAAAAAAAAGATATGAAAACAAATAATTATTTATACAGAAATTGTTATTTACACATCTCTTTACATAATCTTAAGATATTTTTTAATTTATTTTGATAGTTTCACATATATTAATAAATAAATAAATAAATATTTTTTCAGCCTTCAAAAAAAATATTAAAAATACAAACTATATCATGTATTTACTTTAGATGATTTGTTCTTTACTTTTTACTATAAATATATCTTAAATCATTACAGTTGAGGGTTGGAACCTTTTTGGTGTTACACAACAGCAAAATAAAACACTAAATCACCACAATACACCAAAACACTTACTTTTTACACTGGACGCGCGTTTCGCTAACCATGTTAGCATCATCAGCAGATGATTATAAACTAAAGTACAATCTACAAGTTGAGCGTTTATATACTCGCCCAGTAGGCACCGAGTGGGCGTGGCAAAATCTAGCCAGCCGAGTCAGAACCCACTGAGCGTAACAATAATTAGATTTCCGCCACTAGAGTAGTAGGAACAAAGAACTTGATGGAATTGGACCTTTGCCTCTGTTCCTACTATCTTTACATTTATTAATTCTGATGCTTTCATATGCATCTAATTGCCTGTAATTTGAGACTTGTTTAATTAATTTTAAATTATTAAGATCTATAATGTTCATTATCAATATGTTCGGCAACGCAAGATTTATCCGGTCTACCATATCTTATCTGAGCTAAATGTTCTTAAATCTAGTTAATATTGGATCTTCTAGTTTGCCTAACATATTTCTGATTACGATCTTTACAAGAAATTTCATAAATACCCGACCTTTCCAGTGAGGTGTTTTATCCTTTGAATTACCTAATAATTGTTAAATTTATTATTAGCACTATACACAAGTTTATAATGACATTCTTAAAAATTCCTTTTAAACCACGGGATAACACTCTATCAAACGGTATCGAAAAATATTTAGATCTTTCTCCACTTGAAAAGTCGAATTTTCAGAAATCATTAACCTACACCTACGTTTTCTAATTAATTTATCAACTAGTGAAGGGGAATATCCATTACACTCAGCTACATTCCTAATGTAATCACTTTCTATTTCATATCTTTCGTTGGAAAGTGGGAAACTAACTAATCTAAGAAATTTAAACTAGCCTTTTTATGTTCAACACTATGATGTGATTCATTAGGAATATATCTGCGTGTGGTCGTATTTTTCCAATAGATATCAAATTCCAGGCAATTATTAGCATTTCTAATAACTAATATCTATAAATTGGTAATTCAATCGTTGTTTTCAATTTCATGCGTAAATTTAATGGAAGGAATGACATTAAATTTAGAAATAAAATTATCTATGGTGTCTGAATGTGTGTCAAAAACAAGTAAATATCATCCACATACCTAAACCATACTCTTGGAAAATACTCAACTGATTCCTAGCCTCCACTTCAAACTTGCTCATGAATAAATTAGCTAAAATGGAGACAATGGATGACCCATTGCTGTCCCTTCCCGCTGTTCAAAAAGTTGTTATTAAATTGAAAACAATTTTGTTTCATACATAACGATGTAAGCTCAATATATTCAGTCACAGTTTTGTTGTCGAGACCATTTGCGTTCAGTAATTCTTTCAAGTAGCCTAAAGTATGTGGAATTGGAATACTTGGGAACAACGAATATACATCAAAGGAGACCAAAATTTCACCTTCATGCAATGTTATATCTTTAATTTTGTTAATGAATTCAATATTATTTTTAACTGCGAAAGAAGGTTCATGATCAGGTAAATTTTCGAACTCCCCTGATAACCATTTTGCCAAATTATAAGTCGGAGAACCTACAGCCGAAACAATTGGGCATAGACTTGTCCGGTTTATGAATTTTTGGCAAAGCATACAATTTTGGTAATGAAGGATTGGATACTTGCAATTTCCTCTTTAAAGAAAGATCAATAAGGGTGCCATCTTCTTTTATTTTTTTAACGTCTGCTACCATCTTAGACAAAGGATCGTTTTTCATCTATGTAGGGGCCATTATCGATTAAGTTGTTAACCTTATCGTAATAGTCTTTTATCTAATATAACAACCTATTTCCCTTATCCTTTAAAAATATAATATACAGTGTTCTATTTCAAAATAACAAAGAAAATTCATTTTATATTTTAGAATATTTATGTAGAATTTTGAACACCCTGTATGATTTAAGTTTACAGTATTTAAAGCAAAGTAAGTACAGACCATCTAAAGCAAATGCTCTAATATAGTTTTGATTAAAATATTAAAAATACAGGTCTTGTATTTTTACTATTTTTTTTAGATAGGCTGAAAAAATATATTTTTAATTATTTATTAATTTCTCTGGAACTATCGAAATATATTTATTCATATCTTAGGATTATTCAAAGTGATCTGAAAGGCAGCCAAAAATACAATAATATACAGGGTAAAAAAAATCAGCCCGATCCACTCACACTTTTTTGAGCCAATTTTTTGCTTTTGTTGAATATAAACAAAACAACAAAAGTTAAGACAATAGTTTTATTTAAATAAAATATCGTATTAGCTTATTTCACATTACATTTCAACAATAATAATCAATGTTAGGAACAACAAAATATATTATTACATCTATATGATGTCTAAGAGTTAATCTGAAATTGATGATTTCTAAAAAAAAACAAAATTTATATATATAAGTCAGAAAAAAAATGAAAGTTTGTATATTATAAAAGACTGCAATAAAATTAAGTACCTACATTTTCACTGTTAAAATGAACAAAAAATATATATATAAATTAATAATTCTAAAATATATTACAGATCATGTTTTATATCCTAGCTAATCTGCAGAGATTTAAAATTTCTTACAGATACTACCACGTTTCCTTTTTCGTTTAAAATATTTTATTAAGTTCATACTCAATCGCTTTTAGGAATATATACAGGGTCGCCAACCTTAATTAATCCAGACTTTCTAGTTTCGCAGTTGATTCCCATGGTTGGTAAGCTGCTTGGACCATTACTTAAACGGTATCTAAAAATATAACCATGATTTAAATTAAATATATTAAAAAAATGTAATAAAGGTACTAACGTTTCTAGTGTTTTTAGTGGCTCTCTATCGCTACTTCTGGAAGCATTTTCTGGATCGATAGTTGTCATAATACATCTGAAAAAAATCATATCATTAATTAAATTAAATCATAATATCCTTAACAAAAAAATGTTTTATAAAACTTTTTTTTGTTAAGGAATACTTAAATTTACTATATATGAACTTATATGTTTTTCTAGTTTTAAAGGTGTGGCAAAAAAACTTTGGCATTACCGTCCATATTTACAATTTACAATATTTTACAATGTTGAAGACATAAGAAACATTTTCAGTATTTTGAATTTTTTCATTAGTATCAACAAATCAGAGTTACCAGGCACGCCACAGTTGTGACTTACCGGATAATAAACAGTTATAAAAAATATATAACAGCTCACTGGCATCGATTTTTTCAAAGACTCTTAATGTTTTTACTGTTTGAAATCAATAGACACCATAAATGTGTTATTTTAAACTGTTATTTTGTAACTTCTAAAAAATAACAGGTATGAAAATAACAGCTCACTGGCATCGATGTTTTTCGAAGACTCTTAATGTTTTTTACTGTTTAAAATGAATAAACACCATAAATGTGTTATTTTAAGCTGTTATTTTGTAACTTCTATAAAATAACAGACATGGCATATATACATGGCAGACAACTGTTATTTGGCATCGACGTTTTTCGAAGATTTTTTTCATGTTTTTACTGTTTAACAATAAAACTAATAAATATCATATATCTGTTATTTTAAGCTGTTATTTTGTAACTTCTAAAATAACATATGTGAAAATAACAGTTCACTTCCATAGATATCTTTCGAAGTTTCAATTTTAATTCATTGTTCATCGAAATTATTTTTGTTTTTATTGTTTAACAATAAAATCAAGAATTACCATAAATCTGTTATTTTAAACTGTTATACTGGCATCGATGTTTTTTAAAGATTCTTTTTGGTGTCTTTATTGTTTAACAATAGAATCACTAAATAACATAAACCTGTTATTTTTAAATAATAACAATTTCAACTATTATTTAGATAAAACAGATTTAACTAATTCTTATTTTGAATATAATTTTTTTTTGCGGAACAGTTTGGCAGTTCCAAAATAACTTGCATTGTTATTCTTTTGATGATACCTCGTGATTTCTATTATAAGAATAGTTAAGTACGTTTTCATCTTTATTGTTTCAAAACATACCTAGTAAATTTTAAGAAAAAAAGTTATTTCTAAAATTTAACACTTTCAATAATTTTTCTTACCTTGTACACTCTTTTGACATTACGTAGTACCACGTCTCAATCTTGATCCCTCCCATTTGGTCCTCTGCGTATGGTTCCAAGCAAGGGCCGTCCACAATGACGTTGGGACGGAAATTGTCTACCGAAACACTAGACTTGTTTATTCTTTTGTTCAAATCGCGAATAGAGGCTTGGTTGACCAGAAGGATTGCAGTTAAGTCAGAGTACAGTCCCTAGTAAAAAAATACTTATTACTAAGTAGTAAACATATAAAAAAATATTTCCCAAGTTCCAAAAAAATATTTATGCTGAAATGCAAAGCTATTTATACATACAGCCTGGCAAATATCACAAAGGAACGGAGAAACGTTAAGAGAAATTTGATTTTGATGTCAATATGACTCCTACTAGTAGAGGGCGCCACCTACATATTTTTTAACTGGTTTGAAGAGTAATAACTTTTCGTCCGCACCTGTATAAAACTACTGAGTAAAAAAAATATAGATTTACGACGTTTTTTACGTAAAAAATGTCTCTTGGTAAAAATCGCTACGAGTATTGGTTTTCGACATATTTGGAATCGAAATTATCAATACCTGTCATCGCTGACATAAATTAAACACGTTGACTAAATAGTTATTAGACTGAGATCATAAATTTAAAAGTTTTTAGGCCAAAAGTTCAACAGAAATTGTTTTATCATCATTTTTTGGCAGAAAAATTTATGATCAATTTAAAAAAAATAAAAGTTTCCCAAACTTATTGTTTCAGTGAAATAACTATCTACTCAACGTGTTTATTTTTCGTCAATAATGTCATGTATTGACTATTTCCATTCTAAATATCTTGAGAACGGTTGCTCGTAGCGATTTTTACAAAGAGATATTTTTTACGTAAAAAGTCACAGACATGTATATTTTTTCACTCGGTAGTTTTATACAGGTTCGGACAAAAAGTTATTACGCTTCAAAACAGTTAAAACACCTGTAAGTGGCGCCCTCTACCAGTAGGAGTCATATTGACATCAAAATCAAATTTCTCATGTCAAAAAACTCCTAGACACCAATTTTCTTCGAAATATTGACGTTACTTCAGAAATTATTTGGCAAAAATCGAAATAAAAATGAAACTCCTACACCCTGTATCTCTGAAACTAAGCATTTTAGGACATACATTTATACAAACTTTTTTAATTATTTTTTTATGCAGAATATGCTGCCGAAGTTTCCGGAATAAAGTTCGGACCACCCTGTATATTTCATATGAATTAAAGTTATTGTTGCCAACTATGGACATATTGGGCGCCGGGCTGACTAACTAGAATTTAAATTTAGCGCTGGGGATTCAGATGGTAGCTCTGCTGTAAAAAATGTCGAGTTGCCGCAATTTTTATTTATTTCCTGACATTGTCATTCGTTTTGACACTTTAGTTTTGTATTGCGAGTTTTCAGTTTAAGTAAATAGTGTTGTGATTAGGGAATGCAATCCCGCAAACCCGCGGGATTAAAGCAATCAATCCCGCGGATCCACAAAATTGCGGGACTGTAAACAATAGTCATACATTTGGTCCTACATGGTACAAAAGGCATTGTACATTTTGCATAGGCCCACAATATATTGATATAGCGTGTATCTTAAACTAGCTGTACAGATATTTTGACC